CATCAAGGCATTTAATTTTTAAAAGGTATTTTAGCCCTTGAGCAGCCAGTGGAAACATCTGCCCTGATCTGTGATGGTACCTCAGAGCTAAGCAGGTTACCTGCTCTGCAAAGCCCTCTGTGCACGGGGTGACCTGCAGCATCCAAGCTCAGGTGCAGGGAGTCACCCCGAGGCCAGCACAGACACAGCCTCACCCCTGCATTTCCAAAGATGTCACTAATTTAATGATATTGTCACAGTCAGACCACTAGAGCAGCAGCATCTCGGGAGGGAAGCAGACACTGACTGCAATGAACAGGAGCAGGGCAGAAACTGTCCCCACAGAAACATCTCAGGTGTGCTCAACTCAGGAAGCAGCTCCATGCTTGTTATTAGAGGTATCATCCCTGTTCCAGTCACTGTCAGTGGATTCTTGGGTGTAACCAGCAAGGTGTTGGTAGCAGGGGGGCTGCAGGGGTGGTCTCTGAAGAGGGGAGGTGCTGCCCTGTGCTGGACACAGCTCAGCCCACCAAGAGACTTTGTGGCACCTCTGAACTAACCAACAAAGCTGGTGGTGCCCCAGTGAGAGCTTCAGAAAGGGCAGAACACGCCCAACAGGCAGAAAACAAAAGTGAAACCAGCAGTGTAAGCAGAGGTGGAGAGGAGAGGAACTGCTCCAGCACCAGAGCAGCTTTGTTTCCCACAGCCCCCAGAGACAACAATGGTCTGAGCACAGCCAGGCTGGGAGGAGGCAGAGGAGGCAGGAACAAAGGAGGGAAGTGGGGGCAGGACAGGAAATCATTGTTCCAATGTGTCTTTGTTTCTCACTACCCAAACCTGTTACACCAGGCAGCAAATTCATGTGTCTCAAGCCAAGTCTGCTGAACAGTTACTGCCACAAGCAACACATCTTCCCTGGTTTCACCTCATCCCATTTGTCATCCAGTTTTCTCCTTCCCTGTCCTGTTGAGGTGGATGAGTGAGAGTGGCTGGGTGGGTGTCAAAGCCAACCCACCACAGCACACAGCTGTCCTGCCACAGGACAGTGACAGGACTTTGCCTGTTAATGCTGGTATTAAGCTCTTTTTTTTTTTTCCCCCATACTGTGTGTGGTTTCTCACAATACCTGAGTATCTTTTCTGTCCTTGTGATTTTGAGATAGGGAGCCTTGGAGAACAGATCTCTTGAGAAGTGTCCATTTTCACAGGTTGTTTCCCAGGATAATGATCCAGGATCAAGTCTAGGTCATCTTCATCAGCAAGCAGGGAAGCTTTCATGATCTGAAAAGGAAGTAAGTCAAGCCTGCAGATTCACAATCACTCTCACAGCAGCAGCTCAGTGACCTCTCTGATCCTTTTCCAACCAGGAGAACTTGTGCACGTTGCATGTGACCAAACAGGCTCGTGCCACAAACACTGAAGCAAACTCATCAGCTGATGAGAAACTTCTACAAACTGCCAGTTAAATCAGTGTCAGAGCACTTGTTAGGATGGGTGTGGAGTCCTAAAATCAGACTGTTATCTTAGATCTTCATGGAATCAAAGAATGCCAGGTTGGAAGGGACCTCAAGGATCATCTGGTCCAGCCTTTCCAGGTACTACTCTAGTTCAGATGAGGTGGCTCAGCAGCCTGTCAAGCTGAGACTTAAACTGTCTTGGCTCTATCCTCTAGTTTTTCAGCTTAAGCAGTAACTCCAGGACTACTTTTCCTCACAAGTTAAAACCACAGCAGTCCCCAGGTGTTCAAGGTACCCTCCTCCACTCACCCAACAAATAAAACCACCAAAACCTAAAGCCAAATCAAGACCAATTATTCTAGTACCTTATTTTCCACAATCTGGGCCCAAAGCTCTGTCAGGTATTGGTCTCACTTACTGCATTGCCCACACTGAAAAATCTTGGAAAATCACTTGGAAACCTGCATTTCTAGCCTTCAGATTATTCTGATTTCTGCATTGAGCTCTTACTGTCTGTAAAGGTGTAGGGCAGGAAAACATTATTGTGTTTCAGTCCTACTACAGGTGTGATGTTTCGTTTATAATAAGATGATAGAATGGGGCAGGGTTGGAAGGGACCTTTAAAGGTCAACCAGTCATGCCCCCTCTGCAGTGCCCAGGGACCTCCTTAACTACATCAGGTTGCTCAGAGCCCCATCAAGCCTGACCCATAATGTCTCCAGGGATGGGGCCTTCACCACCTCTCTAGGCAACCTGCTCCATTGCTTCACCACCCTCATTGGGAAGAACTGTTCCTGATACCCAGTCTGAATCTCCCCTGCTCTAGTTGAAGGCCATTTAAGGGCAGGTACCAAGGTGGTACCTAAGTACCCTTGGGGAGACAAACTGTGAAGTTCCTGAGTAGTTAAGTCCTCTCTCTCAGAGGGGAAAGGGCAAGACACTGACCTGCAAGACGTGGGGGTTAATGCCCAGGGTGGAGGCGATGTGAGTGGAGGCAGGCACGGCCTCCTGCTCCTCCAGCACGTTGTCTTCTCCGAGGGACTCCAGGGGAGGCTCCTGGGTGATGTCTGCCATGTCACTGTCCAGCTCCACCACTCTGCCCAGCTGCTCCACTTCGGGGGTCTGCAGACACATGCAGAGGCCAGGTCAGACAAGAACAGACTGCACAGGTTTGCAGAGGAGTGTGGAGCAGCTCCAACAATCACCTGCCAGCGAAGTGCTGCGCTCCCCGCTCTGCCAAGACTCCCCAGCAAGTGCAGAGGTGGAAAAATAAAACCCACTCCTGTTTTCTGCAGGGTTGGAAGGCAGCAGGGCAAGTGGCAGGGAAGAAGTCATGGTTTAGTCATGCCCTCCTGAAGTTCTGCCAGAAAAACTGTTCTTCAGCTTTCCATTTCTCACCTGACTGTGCATCCTGCCTCCCCCCCCCAGTCACACAAGGAGAGGTTTCTTGGGCCTCAAGTACAACCTGGGATAGTTTAGAGAACTGAACAACCAGTTTAAAAGCAGCAACTCTCCAGTACTTATGTGTGGTGCCACCAGTGTCTGATGAGCAGAGGAGTCACTGGTACCTGCTTTGCTCCCCCAGCTGTGACCTGGTACAGATTAAAAACATCAAGTTTATATTCCACAGGGAACTCATTAGAAGTTTTAAGTGGGCAGGAGTCCCTTCAAGAGCACCTCAGTCTGGGACACAGTGTGTGTGTGCATGAAGGTGTAAAATTTAAAACCAGGACACAACTGTCATTGGATGAGAAAGTTGGGTTTTTCTGCAGTGATTTTCTCCTCATCACTGGCACATCAGCAGTTTGGGAGTTGATCACAGCACTTCTCTTCCCACCTGCAGCTCAATTTCTCATCTCTACTGCAAGTCCAAGGCAGCAGGAAGAATTAATTTGAGGATTTCACTGAAGGCAAACCCAGGGCACTGCCTTTGTGATGAGCAGGAGGTGACCTCTGCACACTGGCAACTGCTTCAAACAACTTGTACTCAGGCTGCAAGCAGGGCTGGAAAACATCCAGCCAGTACAAACCAGGGGCAGAAATCAAATTAACTCTGATCACCACTGTCACAGTCTCCACTGCTGCCCAGCTGCCCATGGGGGTGACAGCACCCAGCCCCCTCAGCTGCTACCAAATCATGGAGCAAACCCTCCAATTCTTTGTCCTCCACTGCCAGAAGCTGCTTGAAAGGACAAACACCCCTGCAGAATGTCATTTGGTGGTGGTTTTGGGCAGCTAAGGGGCCAGCCCCAAAGGAGCACCTGCCCAGGGGTAACGAGGTGGCCTTGAGGTCATTGCCAAGGGGCTGGAACCCCACCCCTGGGCTCCATGGGTTTTGCTCCAACCTGATCACCACCCTGAGTGTCCTGTGAGAGAGTCATGCTCTCAGCTCCCTCAGTTCCAGCAGTGCCAGTGAGGAGAGGGCTGAGGTGATGCAGGTGTGGGAGGAGGACAGGGCAGCAGGGAGCACTGGGAATGGTGCCAGGGAATGACAGAGCATCCTCAAGGGGAGCTTCTGAGCCTGTGGGGACAGCCAAGAAATGTGATGCAGGTTATCAGGTGAGGCAGATAACATGAGACTAGGGGGGTCTGGAAAGATAGAACCTCATGGCAGAGATGGCAGGAGCATCAGCTGGTGGCATCTGAGTCTGCCCCAGCATGGGGGACAGATTTACAAGTCAAAACATCATGACAAACACCAAAGTTTCTCTGCTGCCTTCATTGTGCTTTAATGCAGCCAGGCCCCTGGTGTCACCATTCCCTGTGGACCTTGAAACATCAAGAACTTCATTAATATTCAAGCTATCAAGAGAAGAAAAAAAACCCAAGTCTAGATCCTAAATACTTCCTCCAGGCTAAATACTATTTCTAGATGCTTCACACACCCAGAGGCTGGCAGGGTTTCAAGCCAAGCTGTGCTGTTTCCCAGAGGTTAAGGAAATAAAGCTGGATGGTTTTCCTGTTTTCAGGAATGAAAGTCTTTGTTGATGGTATGCAAGTCAAAGAGGTCAATGAACCAGGACAAGTTTCTGCCAAGTTCATTTGGATCCAGAAGCCAGGTCTGAATGAATGACACGTATTCCTGAAGCCTGGAGGGATCAGCTGTGCTGCCCCTTCATGTCAACAAGAAGCAGGAAGGGAAGCTGAGAGGTGCTGGATGCAGGCAGCTCTGCCAGCCACATGTCCATTAGGAAGCACTTCAGGAATCTAGGAGAGCAGGATGAACTAGGAGGATTTAATTAGCCATGGGGAGTGCTGAGCAGCAGCTTAACATGACTTGGTACTTTGCAGGTGAGCTGCTGCCACCAAAAGTCTCCTGAGCTACCCTGACCTGCAGGGACACCTAAAGCAGCAGAGCTGGAATGGCTGGGATGTTTCTACAGAGGTCCTGACTAGATGACAGACTGTCACAAGCAATTCCCAGCTGACTTGATTTTTTTTCCTCACAAAAAAGTAATTATGCTTTTGCACAAGCAGTGATGAAGCAACATCTGTGGCTTCTCCTTGGCACTAGGAACAGACCCTTGTCCAGAAGGCTACGAAGCACCCAAAGCTCATGGCCAATGAAGAGAAACTCTGCTAGAACACCTGGTTTCACTGAATCCCAGACTGGTTTGGGTCAGAGGGACCTTAAAGCTCATCCAGTCCCACCCCTGAATGGGCAGGGACACCTCCCAGCAGCCCAGGCTGCTCCAAGCCCCATCCAACCTGCCCTCCAACACCCCCAGGGATGGGGCAGCCACAGCTTCCCTGGGCAACCTGGGCCAGGCTCTCCCCACCCTCACAGCCCAGAATTTCTCCCTCCCATCTCAGCTCCAGCTCCCTCTGCCAGCTGGAAACCCTTCCCCCTGCTCCCATCCCTCCCTGCCCTTGTCCCAAGCCCCTCCCCAGCTTTCCTGGAGCCCCTTCAGGCACTGGAAGCTGCTCTCAGCTCTCCCTGGAGACCAGGCTGAAGAACCTCAGTCTAAACAAAAAAACCCCAAAACAACACAACAGCACCCATACCCCAAGACCCCCACAAACTTCACCCTATCACAGCACTGCCTCTTCAGCTGCTTTTCATGCTTTGGCTGCAGAGATGCAGAAATGAACCTTTCCTCTGCCTGGGTCACCTTCTGAAGGGTGGCCAGAGGAGCCCTGGGCCCACTGCAGGCCCCGAGATGGCCTGTCCCTGTGACTGGAGGGTCCCACAAGTCCTGCTGACACCCAGCCCCAAAAACCTCTCAGCACATCCTACCCAGCTGCTGAACACCCCCTGCACATCCCACTGCTGCAGTGCTCCTTCCACCTCTGGGAAATGGAGAACACAAAAATAAATCAATCTGCTCTGCATTTGGCTTTCTGGTTTATGACAATTTACTTCAAAAAGTGATAGAGAGTTGACAAACATTTGCCATGAATCTATTTCACCCATCAATGCCAGGATGCCTCCCAGACAGGCTGGTTTTCACCAGCAGCTCCTGCTTTAGCTTAACAATGTTCACAGTAATTACATTTGGAAAGTGCAAGTTGCAATCAGACTAACTCTAAAACCCACAAAAAAGGATTTAAAAAAAATATTAACTTAATATCAGACCTTAAGGAGTTACCAATGAACTGGATAAAATGGCCCCATCCCCAGGAGAGGCAGAGGGACCACTGAGCTTTACAAAGCTTTAGAAGCAGCTACATCCAATTCAAATACACTTAACAATCCAGCAAATAACCAGCCTTAAAAAAGTAATTTTTATAAAAATAGAGAATGTCCTTAAAATATGAAGCACACAGTCCTGCACACTAAGTGATGCTTAAATCAAACTAATGGACAAGATCATTCCCAAGGCAGGCAGCACAAGGAGTCATCACTATTTAGCATATGTTCAATATTCACAAAAACAAGGGGTGCAAAGAGGCCAAGCTCCACCTGGACCAGAATGCAAAGAAGAGTTGAAAAGCCCTCCCATCCCCACAACCCTCACTGAGAAAAGTCAAGTGTCTTAACCAAAAAAGACCATGCAGACACACATCAGGAGGCCAGAAGAGCTACTCAGTTTGTGTGCAGTTTTGCTCCTCGGTTTCCAGGCCACCTCTGACTCCAACAACCCCTCCCAGGCACCAGCTACTCCTCCCATTTCACGTTAGGAATTCGTTTTTTAGTCACTGTCCTCCTTCTACCTGGGATGGAGGGGTGGGCTTCCCGTTCAGGGTGATTTGCTGGGGCAGCAGGTGCCCTGGGGGAGGCGCTGGGGTTGTTTTTAGCTTCTTTGTGTCCACTTTGGAAGGATGCTCTTCCTCTTCCTCATCCGAATCCTGTAAGCCATACTTGGAGAAGTGTGCCACCTGTGGGAGGAGAAGGGCAAACAGGTCACATCTGGGGAGAAGCAGCTCAGGCATTTCTGAAAGGCCTCAACAATGAACAGGTGTAACTGTCCAGCTCACACAGCAGCTATGAGAGCTGGAACCAATCCAGCTTTTATAGACCAAGAACATCTGTTGCAGCTCTGGGGTTCCCAGCACAGGAAGGACAAGGAGCTGTTGGAGAGAGGCCAGAGGAGGCCCTGGAGATGCTGAGAGGGCTGGAGCAGCTCTGGAGCCAGGCTGGGAGAGTTGGGGTGTTGAGCCTGGAGAAGAGAAGGCTCCAGGGAGAGCTGAGAGCAGCTTCCAGGGCCTGAAGGGGCTCCAGGAAAGCTGGGGAGGGGCTTGGGACAAGGGCAGGGAGGGATGGGAGCAGGGGGAAGGGTTTCCAGCTGGCAGAGGGAGCTGGAGCTGAGATGGGAGGGAGAAACTCTGGGCTGTGAGGGTGGGGAGAGCCTGGCCCAGGTTGCCCAGGGAAGCTGTGGCTGCCCCATCCCTGGGGGTGTTGAAGGGCAGGTTGGATGGGGCTTGGAGCAGCCTGGGCTGCTGGGAGGTATCCCTGCCCATGCAGGAGTGGGACTGGGTGGGCTTTAAAGCTGAGCATCCCACCCAAACCACCCCATGACTCTACGCAGACCTTCAGTTTCTCACTTCTGCCCACCCTGCTGCCCCCTGGGGCAGCTCCCAGGCAGGAGAGCAGGTTACCTTGAAGACCCAGGAGCCAGTCTCGGGGCGATACTCCTTGAAGCGCGCGCCCTGCCGGCGCGACACGGCCTCCAGCCGCCCCTCGTAGTTCATCTCGGCCAGGCGCTCGGGGCTCTTGATCAGGCAGCGGGATGTTTTGTCCGTAGGCCAGACCCCATCCAGGGTCACTTCAGCTCGCCTGGTGAGGGCAGATCCAGGTGTGAGACCCCAGGGTTTTGAGGTAAATGCAAAGCACACGCGGGCACTGGGCGTCTGCGCTCAGAGCGGCTCATAAACCACATTTCTGGTTCAGAATGTGGCATTTCCCCAGGTCGGTGCTGGGTCCAGGCCTGCCTAGCATCTTCATCAGTGACCTGGATGAGGGGACAGAGTGTCCCCTCAGCAGGTTTGCTGATGATCCTGAACTGGGAGGATTTGCCCAGGGAGGTGGCAGAGTCACCATCCCTGGAAGTACTGAAAAGAAATGCTGATGCACTGCTTAGGGACAGGATTTCAGCACTGAATGGGTACATCAGGCTATGGTAGGGGGATTTAGGTTATGATTGGACTTGATGATCTTCAAGGTCCCTTCCAACCAGGATGAATTCTATGATTCTAGAACTGGCTGATCCAACAGGAGGCTGTGCAGCCATTCAGGGAGCCCTGGACAGGCCAGAGAGCTGGGCAAAGAGGAACTTCTATAGGTTCAACAAGAGTTATTCCCACACATGGGGAAGAGCAACACCAGGCACCAGGTCTGGTTAGGAGATGACCTGCTAGACAGCAGCTCCATAGAGAAGGACCTTGGAGTCCTGGTGGACAAAAAGTGATCCATGGGGCAGCAATGTGCCCTGGTGGCCAAGAAGGCAAATGCCAACCTGGGGTGCATTAAGAAGAGTGTCCAGCAGGTCAAGGTGGTTTTCCCCCCCCTCTACTCTACCCTAGTGAGGCCACATCTGGAGTGTTGTGTCCAGTTCTGGGCTCCCCAGTTCCAGAGGGATAGGGATAGACTGGAGTCCAATGGAGGCTACGAGGATGATGAAGGGACTGGAACACCTGCCTGATGAGGAGAGGCTGAGAGACCTGGGGCTGTTTAATCTGGAGAAGAAAAAGTTGAGAGGGGACCTTCCTAATGTTTATGAATATCTGAGGGGTGGGTGTCAAGAAGAGGGGCCAGTCTCTTTTCAGTGGTGCCTGTGATAGGACAAGGAGCAGGGAACACTCCCTGGAACACAGGAAGTTCCACCTCAACATGAGAAAAAATTTTACTGAGGGTGGCAGAGCCCTGGGACAGGCTGCCCAGAGAGGCTGTGGGGTCTCCTTCTCTGGAGACTTCCAAGACCCATCTGGACTCCTTCCTGTGTGACCTGGCCTAGGGGATCCTGCTCTTGCAGGGGCTTGGATCTCCAGAGGTTCCTTCCAACCCCCACCATTTGATGGCCCAGGTGCTGTGCAGTGATGCAGCCTGACTGCACACCTCTCATCCCCATCTCCTGGCAGCTGCCTGCAGTCACAGCAGATTGTCACTGCTACAAAAACCATCCCCAGGAGCCACAGCCCCTCCCAGCAGTTACCAGTTACCTGTTCAACCCTTCACCAATAGGGGGTTTCCTCTCATCATCAGGATACACAATCACTTCTTTCCTCCGGATGTGCACAATGTCATCCAGATTTAAGTTGGTGAGATTCACTTCTCCTTCAAAGTAAATCGATCCATAACCTGCAGAACAAACCAAAACATCCCAGTTTGTCCATGAAAAATGACCTGCCAGAGAAGCCACGTTCCTGCTCTGCTCCCCACCTGACCCTCCAGGATGTGCAAGTGACTCCTCCCCCGTGTGAAAACACTGAGGGTGTTTTATCAGTTTCTTTACAGCCAATTCCTTTGCTTTGTTGCCACAGCATCTGTTACCACTTGGCTGTTCATCTCGCCCACACAAGCACTACATGTTCCCCAGCCTCTCAGCACAGTTACAAACTGTTTTACAAACAGCACACACCACAGGACAGATTTTTGTGGTCAATAAAGGCAGTAAGAGCAGTTTGGGCTGAAGGCTCTTCACTCCAGCTCAGGCAGCACAGGATGGAAGCAAGGATGGTGCATCCATGCTCCAGCAAGCTTGGATTCTACAATCTTTACATTTAAGCACAGCAAGTGTCCTTTAAGAGCTACTTTTGTTCTTTTCATGCCCAAGCTTCTCAGGTCACCCCACAACCAGGGCTGTTAGAGCTGCCAGTCTGAACAATGACAGGTCTTTGATGCAAGTTGTTCCAAACCCAAGGGCACTGTTCATAATCCTACTGAGGGCAGGAAGCTCTCATTCAGGATGGCTTTATCTCACAGTCCCTCCTTGTTCTGCCCTGGTGAGGCCACATTTGGAGAACTGGGACCAGTTCTGGGCTCTCCAGTTGCTGAAGGACAAGGAAATACTGGAGAGAGCCACCAAGATGCTGAGGGATGGAACATCTGCCCTGTGCAGAAAGGCTGAGAGACCTGGGACTGTTCAGCCGGAGAGGAGGAAACTGAGGGGGGGTCTAATTTATGTCTATAAATATCTCCAGAAGGTGTCAGGAGGGGGGGACCAGTCTCTTCTCAGCAGTGCCCAGGGACAGGCCAAGGGGCCATGGGCACCAGCTGGAGCACAGGAGGGTCAGGCTGAACATGAGGAGGAACTTGTTGCCTGGGAGGGTGGCAGAGCCCTGGGCCAGGCTGCCCAGAGAGGCTGTGGAGGCTCCTTCTCTGGAGACATCCCAGCCCCTCTGGAGGTTCCTGTGGGACCTGCTGGAGGGATCCTGCTCTGGCAGGGGGTTGGTCCCCTCCAAACCCCAGCACTCTGACTCTGACATTCATGCCTTTAAGATCAGTGCCCCCAGGCAGCTGCCCAGGCTGCCCCTGCCCACCTTTGCGGCCGATGGTGAAGTCTGTCACGACGCACTCGCTCCTGTCGCTGGTCAGCCTGGCCAGCTCCTCCATGGAGGGGATGGTGTAATAACCAGCTCTTGTCAGAACAATTCCTGCAACAGGAAAAACACTGAGAACTGGGCTGACAGCAGCTCCCAACATCAGCACTTCAAGAGATCAGCTCCATTTCCTTTGCAAGCCTGGACAACAGAAGGTCCCCAAAGGAGCTGAGAACTGAGGCAACACAAGGTGGCAGAGCAACCAAACCTCCTCATCTCCACAGAGATGTTTGGGACAACGGCCACACCAGGCTCTTCCAGCCCAGCAACCTGCCAGCAGGGACGTGTGGGCAGAGAGAGAAATGCAAACACATCCAGCAGCACTTGAGAGACCCTCCCAGCTTGAGGCCCTGAGAGCTCAGGCCCCTGCTGACCATTTAACAGCCCCCAATGCTTTGTCATCTAGTCAGTTGTTGAGTCAGCTTGAAAATCCACACAAGCTTTTTGCATCTACAGCTTCTTGCCCCTGAGGCTTCTGAAGATCTTTTCTTAACGTGTCACCTGCTGGTTTCACTAGATGCCACATATTGCCTGAAAGGATCAACACATCTTCTCATCCTCTCCAGATCATTCATGAGTTTAAAAAGGGTGGCAGAGCCCTGGGCCAGGCTGCCCAGAGAGGCTGTGGAGGCTCCTTCTCTGGAGACATCCCAGCCCCTCTGGAGGTTCCTGTGGGACCTGCTGGAGGGATCCTGCTCTGGCAGGGGGTTGGTCCCCTCCAAACCCCAGCACTCTGACTCTGACATTCATGCCTTTAAGATCAGTGCCCCCAGGCAGCTGCCCAGGCTGCCCCTGCCCCCCTTTGCGGCCGATGGTGAAGTCTGTCACGACGCACTCGCTCCTGTCGCTGGTCAGCCTGGCCAGCTCCTCCATGGAGGGGATGGTGTAATAACCAGCTCTTGTCAGAACAATTCCTGCAACAGGAAAAACACTGAGAACTGGGCTGACAGCAGCTCCCAACATCAGCACTTCAAGAGATCAGCTCCATTTCCTTTGCAAGCCTGGACAACAGAAGGTCCCCAAAGGAGCTGAGAACTGAGGCAACACAAGGTGGCAGAGCAACCAAACCTCCTCATCTCCACAGCCCTCACAGAGAGTTTGGGACAACGGCCACACCAGGCTCTTCCAGCCCAGCAACCTGCCAGCAGGGACGTGTGGGCAGAGAGAGAAATGCAAACACATCCAGCAGCACTTGAGAGACCCTCCCAGCTTGAGGCCCTGAGAGCTCAGGCCCCTGCTGACCATTTAACAGCCCCCAATGCTTTGTCATCTAGTCAGTTGTTGAGTCAGCTTGAAAATCCACACAAGCTTTTTGCATCTACAGCTTCTTGCCCCTGAGGCTTCTGAAGATCTTTTCTTAACGTGTCACCTGCTGGTTTCACTAGATGCCACATATTGCCTGAAAGGATCAACACATCTTCTCATCCTCTCCAGATCATTCATGAGTTTAAAAAGACCAAACAAACAACCTAACCAGAAACCCATCCCTCTTCACCAGCTACAAAGTCTCAGCTAAGGGAAAGTTACTCAAGATCTCTCCTAATATTTCCACACTTTCTGTTTTCTAGTATGAATCCAATAGTGCATAATTGGTTTTACTCACTAGTTTTTTACCAAACCACTGAGATTTTTTCCTGGTCATTTAAAGTACTTCCAGAAAAAAAGGAAAATATATATTTTAAGATCTTATTTTTTTATCTGTAGGAAGTTGTTTTGAAACGAACTTGGGAAACCCAGAGGCATGAGGCTCTCTCTTCAACACACAGTAAAGCTTTGGGAACTGGAAAATGTAAATCTGCTCCCAGGATGTCAGCAAGAGGGTTGCAGTGACTCCACTAATGCAAAACCCAGGACATTTCAGCAAGAAAATAAAGTCTTCCCTTTCCAAGTGTTTTCCCTCCTTTTTGCTTGCAAATTGAGAATTTGGAGAATGTTGCTTTTCAGCTCTTTGGATCAAAAATGCCTCCTTCCAGTAGACACCCTGATATGACTGGAGGCCAAGGGACAATGTCACACTTAAAATACTTGACTTGCTATTTAATGTTCCATGACAAAGCAGTGACAGGATTCTGTACAGAGGTCATGGTTGGACTCAATGAACTTAAAGGTATTTCTCATCTAAATTATTGGCTTTTCACCAGAGAGGGCAGTGACACAACAAGGGGTGATGGGTTTAGACTGTAAGAGGGGAGATTTAGGTCAGACGTCAGGAAGAAATTCTTCCCCATGAGGGCAGGAAGGCACTGGAACAGGTTGCCCAGGGAAGCTGTGGCTGCCCCATCCCTGGAGGTGTTGAAGGGCAGGTTGGATGGGGCTTGTGCAGCCTGGGCTGCTGGGAGGTGTCCCTGCCCATGCAGGGGGGTTGGAACGAGATGATTTGAAGGTCCCTTCCAACCCAAACCATCCTGTGAGCCTATTCTGTAACATAAAATTGGGTCATGAAACTTAATTGCTTGTTGACTCAGCAGAAGACATTTCTGCACTAGAGAAAATCAAGATTTGTTGTCTGAAGAAGAAGAAAAAGAGAAAACACTGAGGGTGTAAAACAGCAAACGCAGTAAGAAATGGTGCCAGGAATGGTCTGGTGGGAGGTGTCCCTGCCCATGCAAGGCTAGGAACTGGATTATCTTTAAGGTCCCTCCCAACCCAAACCAGCCTGGAATTGACACATCTACAGCAGCCTCACCTGCAGGATGCAGATGATGGACAGTCTCAGGCTCCTCCTCACGCTCATCCTGAAGGGAATCATCCTGGAAGGAGGCGTCCTCGCTGCTGCCCTCCAGCCCGTTCCGCAGGGCCGCGCGCATGTTCAGCGCCGCGATGGTGTCGTCCATGCTGTTCTGGTGCCTCTGCCCCGGGTTCTCTGGGGTCTGGGGGATGGGCTTGGCAATGCGGTTGGTGTAAAACCTGGTCACCTCGTGAGGATCCTCCTCCTCCTCTCGCTCACCATCTTGCCTGTGGTTTTCCTCGGGAGGCACTGACAAAAAGAACCTGGAGAAACGAAGGATGAACTGTTCAGTTCTCAGGGCCTGTGTCAACATGGACACTCTGGTGTCTTTCCAGAGAAGGAGCAAACACCACCAGATGAACTGCAGAGCCAGCAGGCTAAGGGAAGCCATTATCCCCTTCACTCTGCCCCTGTCAGACCATTTCTGCCATTCTGCAGCTCATCTGGGGCTCCCCTACAAGGAGGAGTGGTAGGACCAGGCGAGGGCTACCCAGGTAGCCAGGGGACCAAAGCACATGGCCTGTGAGCAGAGCTGCAGGGAAATGGGCTGCTCAAGGCTGTAGAAAAGCCTTGCAAGGCAGGCTGTGGTGGCAGCCTTCCAACACCAAAACCAACACTCAGCTCTCCACTGATATGGCAGAAGGATGAGCAACAATCATCCAATTAAACCAGGGGAATCAATGAGGACAGTCCAGTGTTGGAACAGGGACCCAGAGAGGCTGCAGAATCTCTGCCCATGGAGGTTTAAGACCCAGCTGGACAAAGACCAGAACAACCAGGTCTGAATTCAGTGTTGAGGCTGCTTGAGGAACAGAGACCTCCCAAGGCCACTTCCAACTGAACGACCCAGATTTGAGGGGTACATAGTCAGGGTTTTGAGAGGAAAAAGAGGGCCTTGCAGATTCCCTGGTTTGATTTGTAGAAAACACATTATGAGACATTCGGTCAGAGGAGCTTCCTTCTGATCCCCATGTGACTGGGGAGGACTAAGCAGAGGTTCTTCTCACCTCAGGGTCAGGTTTATCACCTCCCTTTAAGAACCAGCCTTGTTTCTCACCATGGGGAATGAAGACAGATCCACAAAGTCATTTTTCTTGGAACCCCTGATTTGGGGAGGGAACAAACTGGTGTGTGAGCACAGGAAGGACACACGACCAGTTCAAGAGGAAATGACTCTCCCATTGCTTCCATGAGTCAACCTGCTTCCAAGAACAGCTGAGGCAACCCCCCTGCAAATGCCTACTGCTCTACTGGCAGTAATTCTGGGGCCAGGCAGCACCAGGCTGCACTGCTGCTCAGTGGGAACAGGCTCTGAGCCCAACTCACCGATCCCCGTCCTCGGGATACTCGGATGGAGAAGCCAGGTCTTCGTTCTCACGATTGACCAGGGAGAACAAGTTGGTGCTGTTGAGGTTCTTCAAAACCAACTTTTTGATGCTCTTCCTAAAAATTATTAAAAAAACAAACAAACACAAAACAGCAAAGAGAGACTTGGATAAATCCACTGCATAAATACATCTCTCATGCTTCATTACATGATTCTAATTTCTGTTCTTCTAATTCTATGAATCCAATTTCAAGATTCTAGGAATCCCTGTGTTTCTGGGACCAGGAAGATGCATAAGACCTGTGCTCACATTCAGGATGTAAAAGTCTTCTCTAAGACCACTTCAGTGGCCAAGATATGAAAACTTCTTTTGCAATTCCATTCAAGGCTTTGCTTTATAAGTAACGTCCAAGGAAATGGTGGAGGCACAGAATTTCTCCCTCCCATCTCAGCTCCAGCTCCCTCTGCCAGCTGGAAACCCTTCCCCCTGCTCCCATCCCTCCCTGCCCTTGTCCCAAGCCCCTCCCCAGCTTTCCTGGAGCCCCTTCAGGCACTGGAAAGCTGCTGAGGTTCCCCAAGAGCCTTCTCTTCTCCAGGCTGAACAAAATGTTTTTTAAAAGCCTGAGCTTAGAGGGACTTGCAATGACTGATGCATCTTTCCCCAAAGTTGTTTTTAACTGGTTAAATAATGTGGTTTAAAACCCCATCTGCCCTCATACCAGGTGCATTAGGCAACCTAATGACACTTCTGCTCCAGGAGCAGGAAGTGTTACATCACACAAGCTTTCCTTGTAATAATTCTTAATACCTTTACAGGAGCTTTGCTGCAATCATGGAATGACCCAATTTTACACTTTATTTGGCTGTAACAATTTCACCTGAACACAGACTTGTTTGGGTTGGAGGGACCTCAAATCCCACCCAGTGCCACCCCTGCCATGGGCAGGGACACCTCCCAGCAGCCCAGGCTGCTCCAAGCCCCATCCAACCTGCCCTTCAACACCCCCAGGGATGGGGCAGCCACAGCTTCCCTGGGCAACCTGGGCCAGGCTCTCCCCACCCTCACAGCCCAGAATTTCTCCCTCCCATCTCAGCTCCAGCTCCCTCTGCCAGCTGGAAACCCTTCCCCCTCACCCCATCCCTTGCTACCCTTGGCCAAGGCCCTTCCCCAGCTTTCCTGCAGACCCCTTTTCATCTCCTCTACAGAAGACACTTCTATTTAAATTCTCCACAAAACTTGTTGCTGCTGTTCCTATTGGAACTAGATCCCAGAACACTCCTGGAATTTGGGACAGTCTACAGGAGTTCATGGAATCTGACCAGAAGGCTCTTGCACTCCCTCTTGTCTCCCCCATCATTCCCAACCCAAACACTAACTTTGGCATGAATGCCCCGTTGGAGAGGGAGGGCTCATCATCATCAAGGCCATCGAAGAGCTGAGACTTGGCAGAGCCAGCAGACTGCAGAGCCTTGGGGCGCACTCTGGTGGCCGGACGCGGGGTCAGTTTGTAGTGGGTGGGTGTTGTTAAGGCCTTCTGAGCTGCTGGGTTTGTTGGTTTCAGCCTCTGCAACAGAAAGACACAGAATTGCAGTTTTCACACCACTTCCTCTACGGCTTTGGATCCACTTAAGGACCTTGAGCAAAGAAGCAGAGGGGGGAGCAATCAAGAAAAGCAAAGGCACGAAGCTGGATGAGAGCAGGTCATGGAAATGATGCCAAAGACCAGGAGCTTCCAGTCCCTCATGGAAGGGACATAAGGAAGCTCTGGCAAGAGCTAACCTGCCCAGGGGAGGAATAACCTCTACCCCCTGGAATCTGCCCAGAGGCAGCAGCTGCTTAAAAATCACAGAGTCATGGAATGGTCTGGGTGGGAAGGGATCTTAAAGCCCAGCCAGTCCCACCCCTACATGGGCAGGGACACCTCCCAGCAGCCCAGGCTGCTCCAAGCCCCATCCAACCTGCCCTTCAACACCCCCAGGGATGGGGCAGCCACAGCTTCCCTGGGCAACCTGGGCCAGGCTCTCCCCACCCTCACAGGTCAGAGTGTCTTCCTGATATCCAACCTAAATCTCCCTCTTCCATCTTAAAACCTTTACCCCTCATCCCATCACTACACACCCTTGTCAAGCCCCTTCCCAGCTTCCCTGTAGGCTCCTTAACACTTGAAACCTCCCTCAGCACTTAACAAAAATAAAAGTCTGAAAATTATCTGCATTTGTCTTTTTAAAACAAACCAGCAGGGTGTGGTTTGTCAGAGGCTGTCACGAGAGCTGTGGTCAGCAGAGCTGAAGCTCAGTCCTGCCCCCCTCCTAGGTGCAGAAAATCACCTATTTCTTCTCCCCTGGCAGCAGGGAGCAGAACAAGAGCCCCAAAGCCAAGGCTCTGCTGTACTCAGAAGCAGTAATTTAAACCCCAGCACCAGCAGTTTGTGTCCTGGAGAGCAGAAAAAGCCCCAGGACCAGCACGAGTACTCAGATGGCAATATATTTTGCTGCCCTCTGGCTACTGAAGTGCAGTGAGCACAAAACCAAGTCACTTCCCATCCTACCCAGCAGGAGGGCTTCAGATTCACCTGCACTTACCTCTTCTTTTTTCTTTGGGTCTGACATGGGGTTTCTGAAGAGTGGGGAATCTCCAAAGGGAGAATAAGTCAAGCTATTGAGGTGCTGCTGCAGAACAGCCTGCTGGGCAGCTGAGGCATTTGGGTCTGTCAGTGCTAGAAAAAGAACAACATTTTCCAGTTAACAGCTTTACTGTTAGCACCAAGGAAGGCAGAAAACAAATCCAATCACAGGAGCTCAAGTTCCTACACAAACTTCAGCCTTCCTCCCCCCTGCTCTTCAGGCCCCATTTCTGCAGCAGCCTGAAGGAAGGAATCCCATTCTGTCCCTTCATGAGAATGTGCAGCCACATTCAAGAGGTTTTAAGCTGTGAAGAGATGAGGGCATGGAGAGCTACACACCAGGGGAATCAGACTGGATCACCAAACCTTCAACTAACACATTTGACCTCTGAAACACCTTTTAAGGAAATCAAACAATTGAAATCTGTAACAGAAAGAGTTGATGCTCTTGCTCCAGCAATTAAACTTACCAGCCTCGAGTCCTCTCTACAACAAAAGCCTCTTAGTTTTGTCCCTCCATCTTCTAGCATTTAATTTTAATTCCTATTAAAATCCCCCAAGTGTTCACACTATGGAGTGTTTGGAGCAACCTAAAGCAGCTTAGTTCTAATTCCAAGAAAACCAGATTGAATCTGTGAGTTCCCAATAAAGGAACAGCAGCTGATGGTCAGGCAATGTCTGCAGGTACAGTGTGAGACAAGTGGGTGTTCCCAGATCAACAGCTGGTTTAACTGAGCAGATGTTAACCAGGGAGACCTGTCCCTATGCTGCCCCACTGCAGCTGTTAACTACAGAAGTGAATCCCAGACTGGTTTGGGTGGGAAGGGACCCTAAAGCCCATCCAGTGCCACCCCTGCATGGGCAGGGACACCTCCCAGCAGCCCAGGCTGCTCCAAGCCCCATCCAACCTGCCCTTCAACACCCCCAGGGATGGGGCAGCCACAGCTTCCCTGGGCAACCTGGGCCAGGCTCTCCCCACCCTCACAGCCCAGAATTTCTCCCTCTCATCTCAGCTCCAGCTCCCTCTGCCAGCTGGAAACCCTTCCCCCTGCTCCCATCCCTCCCTGCCCTTGTCCCAAGCCCCTCCCCAGCTTTCCTGGAGCCCCTTCAGGCACTGGAAGCTGCTCTAAGGTCTCCTTGGAATACTTGGATCATCTGCAGAGCTACATCAAGAGACGTCCAAGCACAAGAATCACAGAAGTATGATGGAAACAGGACAGAAATGTATAAAACCTGACTGCACCACAGAGATGAGAGAGCATTTCATCCTGAAGAGAACACAGCTCCACTCAGTCACATTCTGCCTATCACAACTAGCATATCCTTTGAGGGGTGTTCCCAGGCTCACAGAGCAGCCAGGCTGGAGGCATCTCTCAAGTCCCTCTCCCTCTCCTCCCTGGACTGAAGAAGCCAACACTGCACTTCCCTTATGGTTTCTTTTTTAAGCAGCTGCTGTCACTGCCCCAAATCCACTCATGAGAAACACGTTGCTCATCTTGAAGACAAAGCTCTAAAATAGCTGCAATTATTCCTAACATTAAGGTAGCTCCAAATTACTTCTAAAATATATATAATTAGCAGAAAACCCCCTTGATTAACACAGTCTCCACTGCTACCCAGAACAGAGGCGGCCTCAAAGTGATGTTCAAACACAGTTTTCCCTCCAAAGCATTTGGGTGGGATGTGTTCCTACATCCAGGCATGTCTGAAACAAGGGGGGAAGCAGAGCTGAGGTGGGGTCAGGGCACACTTACCCACAGCAGGCTGAGGGGCTCCAAAGCCCAGGGTAGCTGTTGATGTGTTGAACCCTGCTGCTCCAAAGGGTCCCGTTCCGAGCGTTGCTCCAAGCTTAGGTTGGGTGTTTCCAAACAAAGATGTCTGTCCTGCCCCAAGAGCTGTGCCAGGAGACAGGTCTGTCATTTACCACAAGGCTGTGACAAACTTACAAGCCAATTTACCCCACCACAAAGAATCAACTCTTTGTTAAAATGCAAGAACATTCTAGATGGCCACAGACACCCCAGGCTCAGGCCACCAGGTCAGAAGCTTGGAACACAGATGATGCCACCACTTCTCTGCCTGCCACTTCTAAGAGGTTATTTAGTCCCTGTTAGCCACCTGGCCTTGGTTCTGATTTGAGACTGAGCTTCAAGCTAAAGCATGCAAAGCCTCTGCTATGTCAGTTAGCAGTTGACACCAAGTTACCAGTGAAGTGTCAGGACTGTGCTTATGCTGACATGAAATGAGCTGGTGAACTGTTTACCTGTCCCAAATCCTGTTCCAAGCCCAGTTCCCAGAGTCCCAGTAGCAGGTTTATTTCCAAACAAACTATTCCCAGCAGTGTTGGCACCGAAACCTTCAAGAAGAGAAGCAGTAGTTTGTTAATCTAACACTGTTAGAGAGGAAATCAAAACCTTAGATTTAAACAAATCAGCATCCCTGGCTCAGAGACAGCCCTGCCACAGCTAAGGCCAAGCTTCAGAGTTTCCCACAATGGAAGTTGAACAGGCAAGTAGCAGAAAGGGACCTCACTGGTAAAAACATGTTTGAGTGGAGAACAGGCTACTGAAAACATGAGTACAGAAAAGCATGGGTTTGCCTCCTCAAGCTTTTCAATTTGTTAGACTTCCAAGTTTTCCTGAAGGCCAGAGCTGACACGATGATGTTGTATCTGACAGCAGAATAAAATGTGTCACATTTCTGCAACTGCCTGGAAGGAGCAAGTTCCACTTTATTACTGTTTATACCACACACCTGCTTCCCTGATTCTTCCCAACAAAGCAGGTAACAGCTCAGAGGTACAAGCACCCAGGGCACAGGCACATCTCTAACTGTAACCAGGTACAATCTAAACCTAACAGCAGACAGGTTAGTTGTTCAACTGAGGATTGTGAAATGATCCTGTGGTTGGTTAGTGTGAAAGGAGATTTAAACCAGAAAGCTGCAGCCATGGACCAACACCAGAAAGAACCAAGCTCCTTTATCCCTACAAATCCTACCACTCCAAGGAGCAAACAGAACACACCTGCTAGGCAGGGTTGTTCACCACCAGCACACTACCCACTGTGGCTGTGAAGATCTTGAACAGCAGCAGAACAGGGGACTTGGAAGCAACTTTCCCCACAAACATGGTGAGCAGTTTGCTGAGGGTTGGTCACCACCAGGAAGCTGTGCTGGCTGAGGAGCTGCCCGGGCAGCCCAGGAGCTCAGCACTGTCCTCCCTGCCTGTTCTGGCAGGTGACCGTATTTTAGACTTTATTGCTGATATTACAATTAAAAATGAAAGGGGCAGGTGCCAGGATCTCAACCCAGTCCCACTCAATTTCAGGGAATACAATTTTGTTGCTCTTAAGAGTCAAGAAAAAAGAACCAAACCAGCTTTCAGCAGCAGTTCTGTGCCAGGGACTGTCACTGCCTCCCACTGTCACCACACACGCGTTCAACACCCGCTCCCCAGCGTGAGTCACAGAACAACACTGACACAAGACAGCCCTTCAGGGCTTTGATCCTTCACACCATGCCAGACAACAGCAGCTACTCATTCAACTGGAACAGACTCCTCCATTTTTTTATTTTCCCTCCAGTTCAAGCTCCCCTATCCCTGCCATCAAGCTCCAGGTAATGCTGCTTTTCCCCCATTTCTGGTTCATGCTTCTTAGCATTCTTCTGCCACCACAGCACATTTACAGCCTCCTAGCAAACCCCTGCTGCACAAATTCTTTGCTTTCAAGGGTTTCAGTTTCAGGTTCCACCTTTTCTTAAGCCCTCACTGGAAGAGTGGTAGTTTCACTTAACTACCCTTGAGTCAGGGAGCACCAGAGAGGAAAGGACAAACCAGTAGTCAAGATGTCTCCCTCCAGCACCACCCACCAGAAGCACAGCTCACCTGAGGACCTGCACATCCAGAACTATCTCCCCTGTGCTACCCAGTACCCAGGTGTGTGGTATATGCAGTAGAGATCTAAGTGACTGAAACCCCACTCTTTTCATAGGTATCAGAACTGGAAGGGTTTGTATTGGTTCCTAAAGTCAGGGGGGTTTGTTACCAAAGAGGCTGCCGCCGGTGGTCGTGCCAAAGGAGGGAGCACTGGTTGTGGTGGTTCCAAATCCAGCTGGTTTGTTACCAAACAAAGTCTGAAACAAGAAAAAATACAAACATCAATTTGGAAACCTGACATGGATCTGAAAAGAACTGCATTAGTGCTGCACTGGGGGCAAGAAAGCAGGGCTAAGGCCAAGCAGGACTCGGGCCACACGACCCAGGCTGCCAGTAGCCGTGTTAGTCACAAGCCACATGCACCAGGACATGCCAAGCTCCTCCTGTAAACTGGTGTTTTCTCTCAACTAAGGCCAAAATGACTAAGGATCAATATCATTTTTGATTGTCATCATCACAATTTCAATGCCTATATGTTCAGAACTAAGTTGAGGCATCCCAAGCCATATATGAGCAGGGAGATGTTCAGTCTCTCTTGCTGCCTTTACATAGAATCATGGACTGGTTTGGGTGGGAAGGGACCTTAAGGATTCTCCAGTCCCACCCCTGCATGGGCAGGGACACCTCCCAGCAGCCCAGGCTGCTCCAAGCCCCATCCAACCTGCCCTTCAACACCCCCAGGGATGGGGCAGCCACAGCTTCCCTGGGCAACCTGGGCCAGGCTCTCCCCACCCTCACAGCCCAGAATTTCTCCCTCCCATCTCAGCTCCAGCTCCCTCTGCCAGCTGGAAACCCTTCCCCCTGCTCCCATCCCTCCCTGCCCTTGTCCCAAGCCCCTCCCCAGCTTTCCTGGAGCCCCTTCAGGCACTGGAAGCTGCTCTCAGGTCTCCCTGGAGCCTTCTCTTCTCCAGGCTGAACACCCTCAACCCTCTCAGCTTGCCAAGCCTTTTATTAGGACATTACTTGTTAAAAAACAGTTATTTCTGCAACACTAGTTCTATCACACCTGTTTATATGACATCCTTCAGTCTACACAAGACCACACTGGTTTTGCCCCTTAACTCTTAGGACATCACTGCTCTCTTGGAGGTCAACATGCAGGGACAGGACTTTCAGCTGGTTTTATTTGGCTTTATTTTAAAAATTTTCTTCCTCACAAAGGCACAGACATACCGAACCGCCAACACCAAATCCTGTATTAGTTTGTCCAAACAGACCAGTTCCAGTTCCAAATCCAGTACCAGCATTTGTATTGGCAGCTGTTCCAAACAGGCCTCCAGGCTGTGAGGGCTGGGTTACCCCAAAGAGACCCTACAAACAGGAAGGAGGTTAGGATAATGCTGGGAGGCTTCCCAGAGCCTAGCACTGATGGGCACTGAAATAACACTCATAGTTGGTTAAGAAAATGATGCTACTTTAACCCTTCTGCTGGGGGAAGGTGGTAGGTGAAAAGCATTTCAGAAGCTTTAGTCATTCTCCAAGAAATTAGTTACAAAAAGGAAGTTTTAAAAAAAAAAAAACCCAACCATTATTCTCCAGGCTTCAAAGGTTATTGAAATTTCCTCCTCACTTGGAATGAGGGAGATGAAAAGGAAACGTTTCACAGTGTTTCCTAGGAGAAGTCACAACATATTCAGAAAGAACATAGTAAATTTGGAGCCAAAGTCCCCAGCTGTGCAACAGGTCACAGCTCTGTGGCTTCCTTCAGCCACCAGAGCCTGTGAGTGCTGCTCCTGAGTCACCAGAGGCACAGAACTGGTCATTCACTCCCACAGAATGTTAATAGCAGAGTTATATTATTGGTGTGAACATGATTGGAAGCACCTGAGAGAGAGAGCAGGCTGCTTGAAGAAAGGAATGGGGAAAGCCACTTGTGAAAAGCTGTGTTGCTGTCCAGTTATCAGGAATCAAAAATGGGGCTGGCAAGAAGCTACTGGCTCAGAGCAGCACCCAGAGCTTCACACCCCACCTTCCTGGAGCTGTACCACAGCCTCCCCTGTCCAACACCTCCACCTCAACTCAGAGAATGAAGGGTTCCCACACTTTATCTTACCATGGTGCTTGTGTTGGGCTGCCCCAAGGTGCTGGTGTTGACAAAGGAGAAGCCGGTGTTCTGCGTCGTCGTGGCTTGGCCGAAGGGTTTGTTGAACAAACTGGTAGTTTGGGACTGTTGGCCAAAAAGACCCCCCGTGGTGCCAGTTCCAAAGCCAGTTGTGCCTACAGCAAATACACACAGTGGTTGTAACTCCTTGAGTGTTTATCCACACCCACTACATGTCCACACTCAGAATGCTCAAGAGGGGAAAAAGATCCTTCAGCTCCACGGACAGCAAAGGGAACGACACTTGTGTCAGATGGGTCATGTTAGATATTCCCTCAGGTTCTCCTTCCCTAAAGCCCATGTGAGCACAACAAACAACTACCAGCAAGTTTACCTCACAGACAGATCAGAGCAAAAAGGTGCCAGCTGTGACAAGGGCAACTTGTTCTCCCCTGTACCATGAGCACCAGCAGAGCGGACAGTGCCCCACAGAGAAGTTCTGCTCTCCAACCCACACAACTGCAGACACTCCCACTTCACCTTCAAACACCTTCCCCCTTTTTCTCCCAAAGGAAAGTGCTGTTCACATGTGGTAAAAATGGTGCAGGCAGAGACAGGAGCTTTTGCTCCTTCTCACCACTGCTATCTCTGCAGAACAAGGTGCTTTCTGCAGAGCTGCCTGCACAACTACATGGAGGCGCTGGGCTGGGCAGTGCTAGGATGTGCCCAGAATCCCAGACTGGTTTGGGTTGGAAGGGGCCTTCAAACTCATCCAGTCCCACCCCCTGCATGGGCAGGGACACCTCCCAGCAGCCCAGGCTGCTCCAAGCCCCATCCAACCTGCCCTTCAACACCCCCAGGGATGGGGCAGCCACAGCTTCCCTGGGCAACCTGGGCCAGGCTCTCCCCACCCTCACAGCCCAGAATTTCTCCCTCCCATCTCAGCTCCAGCTCCCTCTGACACTTTGGAACCATCAGCCCTTGTCTCTACAAGCCCTGCTAAAAAGTCTGTCCCTGTCTTTCTCACAGGCCCCCTTTAAGCACTGAAAGGCCACAAAAAGGTCTCCCTGGAGCCTTCTCCACTGAGCACCCCCAGCTCTCTCAGCCTGTCCCCACAGCAGAGCTGCTCCCTCAACCTGACCTTCCCAGGGGCAGAGGAATCTGGCCACCCTCGTGCTGCTCAGCTCAACCCACACATTAAAGGCCAAAGATCCAGCCCAGCAGGGCCTGTCATGAAGGACAGACACAGCCCTAACCCAGGGCAGTCCAGCCTCTCTCACAGCTGATCATCACCTCTGCTTCTGCAGCCTGCAGGACTGATCTGCTGTTCACAGTCTAATTCCACAAACACAAATAACTCCTTCAGGTTTGCAGCAGAAGCTAATTAAAACATTATTTGTTTTCAAACTTTTCAAAACTCTTTGTTACACACTAAGTTCAAACAGTTACCAGGAGCTGGTGAGCACAACTGCCCTGCAGCCACCAGGGACACACACACTTGTGTGAAGTAGTGGCTTCATACCTGGCTTTTGCTTTTTGACCAAAATGGACACTGTGAAACCAGGACAGACCAACGTGTAACAGGTCAGACCTAAGCCCTGACATGCTGTGGAGGAGCTCCTGGCAAAACCCAGTGAGGACTCTATAAAGTAACTTCTTCATTTCCAGGGAATTTCTGTTTGCTCATTAGAAGTAGAATCTTGACCCCACCATGAACCATCTGATGCCACCACCCATGGCCTGGGGGTTTTACTTCCAGTTGTTTTACTGGCCCATGGGAACTGCCCAGGTGCTCTCAGGAGTTGTCCTGCAGTGGAGCTTGGGGGTGCAGAGGAACTCTGCAACCCTGAAGGGAAAGTCAGAGACTTCTGTGGCAAAGAACCTGATCACTGAACGTTGATAATACAACTAATGAAATTCTGAGCTCATCTTTTTAACGACAGAATTTCCAACAGCTCAACAGAACATCTGGGCACAGCAAGGAGAGGGGACAGGCAGTACTTACTGGTTCCAAAAGCAGTTTTATTCTGCCCATATGAGAAGCCTGTGTTGGTTGTAGAAGAGCCAAACAGTCCTGTGGCTGTACTTGATGTAGCAGTGGAAGATCCAAACAATCCTGCAGCTGCTCCTGCCCCTACAGGGTTTGAGGGCCCTTTCCTGTTTGCCTGGTAATCTTCTAAACGGAGTTCCTAAAAAAGGAAAATCCAGGTCTCTTCACAGGTTCTCCAGACACAGGTCAGAACAGAGGCACCAGTGTGTTCATACAGTGTTCCAGCCACCTCCAGGATGGAGGTAACAAGAAATGCTCCAACACCTACGTGTTATTAAAACAGGGACACCAAAACCAGGACCTGAACTGAGCTGTACCTCTGCAGCTCATGTCTGGGCTTCAATTTGACTTCTCAGAGCTTTTTTTGAGCAGAAGACCTGTTTTGAAGTATCAAAGAGGTCAACCTGAATGAAAGGCTTCAGGGTTAAGTATTTGGAAACAGAAGGTTCTACTAAACATCTTTTTGTCTGAGTTTCTGCTGATCTCTCAGCAGTTCAGGGCTGCTCCCAACTGCACCTCACCCCCCTGTGCATGGGAGATGGAATTTCAGCTCTTCAGAATTCCAGTGGTAAACATTTAAAAGCAAATGCATGAACAGGGTGAGACATTAAGTGCTTTACCTCTTGATGCAGGTACTCAAGGCTGTACTCACTCATGAGCACAGAAGATTTTTATTATAGTAAAAAAAGTTGTACTAAACCAAGGCTAAGGCACAGCAAAGAAGAGAAGCAAATCTGAGCACTAGTGGACTGACCTCCAGGGATTTGCTCTCATACTCTTTCATAGCAGTGATACATTGGTGCTTGGTGTTGATGCTGGTGCTAACTCCAGACTTGACCATAGTATCTGTACCAGTTGGTGGCTGCAAGAGAAGAGGTTCAGGTATCAGATGTGAAATGCAGCTGGATTTCATTCATACAGTTTGTGTTCACTCTGCAGGTGCTGTTCAAACCAGAAGTGAGCCCAGGGCAGCAGCAGTGTGCCACTCACCTGTGCACCTGAGGACTCACCCAGTGCTGAGCAACACCCAGCAGCAAGCAGGGGTGGAGTTCACCCCAGGAATACCCAGGACAAGGCAATGCCTCTCATTTTCCAGCTGGACTCTAAAAGCAGTTTGCCTAAATCTGTGATACAGATCCCTTGGCTGTGCATGGGCTTCATTCTCCCTCGTTCACTTCATGGCAGCAGGAAGGCCCAGCACTCGACCTGCCACAGCCCAGCCCAGCTCTGCCTACAGCCCAGAATAACAAAGCCTCAGTCTAGAAACAAAGAGGGTTGAGATTTGCAGGAACAAAGATTTGGGAACAGGAAGGCCTCTTCCCAGCAAGCACCAGTTACCCCATTTCCACGCTGGCCCCTTCCCAGCCACCTGCCATCTCCAACTGCCACAGCCCCCCACGGCCGTTTGCAGCCCCTTCTTAAAGGGGACTCACCCCAGGGACCCACCTGCCCTGCACATTCCCAAGCCACGGGGCTCCTGGGAGAAATGCATTTCTTTTCACCTGTTCCAAGGTGTCTTTAACCCTTATTGCTGTTAGCATTTCATGTTGATCTCCCAAATCCTGGGGCCCTTCCTGCCTCCCTGAGAAGGCTCCATGTTATGAGCTGCTTCCCCCCACAGCTGTGAGCAGCTCCCAAGAGGACGTTGCTCCACAGGGTTTTAGGAGTTGGGCAAATTCAGAATTAAAATCAAAATAAATCTAATTCTTTGGACTTAATCATACACCCTATTTCCACTGTGACACTTCCACTGAAGGGGATGTTTGCAAATCATCTCAGAACACTGCACACTTTGCATGTGAACTCCTCACTTTCTTCAGCTGAGACCAAGACACTACAGGAGCAAAATGCAACATTTCCTACAGTAAACAAGCTTGGTTAGGGGGGAAAAGCAGAACTCACATTAAACTTGATGGTCGTGCCAGTTGGAGCAGCAGTAAAACTAGTTGGGCCAAAAAGAGAGCCAGAAGTACTCCCAAAAGGATTGGAAGTGGTGTTAGTAGTTCCAAAGAGACCTCCACTGCTGGTACTGGTGCCAAAGTCTTTAAAGGAAAAGAGAAAAAGATCAGTACAAAAAGAAACCTGAATTTTAAAGCTTATAGCCAAATATTTGCATTTAAAGTACAAAATAGTTTGTAAATGGAAAGAGCTGCTAGAATAAGTTTTTCAGCAGGGCTGGAATCCAATCTCCTGCTGTAGAGGGGAGTGACCAGCTCCTCACCCCAGGGAACACCAGCACAGCCACAGGAACCAGTTCCACTCCTGACAGTGCTGAGGAAATTAAGTGTATAATGAAGGGAAGCAGGGAGGCCTCCTCTCTCCCCTCAGAAGGGCCTGCAAGCAGTTGCTTCTGCTTCAGGGAACCACAGCTGAGTTTAAGAGGCATTTCAAGCATTTTAGTGCCAGAAGCAAAACCAACTAAAACTGCTTTGTGACAGGCAGTGGAAAAAGCTACAATCAAGCAGCACCAGAAGACATTGAAGAACAGAAAATACCAGGGAACCTCCTTGTGCACGTTATTGTATAGCTCCTGGCTAGAATCAGAGCTGTCCTGGGCTGCTGCAAAAGAAGCATGGCCAGTAGGGGCAGGGAGGGGATTGTCCCCTCTGCTCTGCTGAGACCCCCCTGCAGGGCTGGGAACAGCTCTGGGGTCCCCAGCACAGGAAGGACACGGAGCTGTTGGAGAGAGGCCAGAGGAGGCCCCGGAGATGCTGGGAGGGCTGGAGCAGCTCTGGAGCCAGGCTGGGAGAGTTGGGGTGTTCAGCCTGGAGAAGAGAAGGCTCCAGGGAGAGCTGAGAGCAGCTTCCAGGGCCTGAAGGGGCTCCAGGAAAGCTGGGGAGGGGCTTGGGACAAGGGCAGGGAGGGATGGGAGCAGGGGGAAGGGTTTCCAGCTGGCAGAGGGAGCTGGAGCTGAGATGGGAGGGAGAAATTCTGGGCTGTGAGGGTGGGGAGAGCCTGGCCCAGGTTGCCCAGGGAAGCTGTGGCTGCCCCATCCCTGGGGGTGTTGAAGGGCAGGTTGGATGGGGCTTGTGTAGCCTGGGCTGCTGGGAGGTGTCCCTGCTCATAGCTGGGAGGTTGGAACCTGATGTTTAAGGTCCCTTCCAACCTTCACCACCCTATGATTCTATCCATGATTCTATGGGTCCTGCGGCCCATCAGCCTCCCTCGTGGCTGCTGCCAGACACCAATAATGTCACAACATCCTTCAGGAGGGTAAGCCCACCCAAAACCCCCCAGCCCTGTGCCATGCAGCCTCCTGCTCTTCAGACACTGAGCAGTGTCCAGCAGGGGGGCAGCAGTTTTACTCACTTCCAAACCCAGCTGGCTTGTTCTGTGCAAAGGCATTATTCTGGGATGAGAAGAGGCCCCCACCCGTGCTGGTGGTTCCAAACAGGCTGTTGGATGTCCCAGTTGATGTTCCAAACCCAAAGCCAGTGCTTGTGGAGGAGGTGGCTGGCTGGTTAAACGTGGTCGAGCCAAACAATCCTCCTAGGACAGAAAGAGATGATTAATCTTTGTGGTCATCACAGGCCTGGGGTTTTGTGTTTGTTTGTTGGGTTTGTTGTTTTTTTTTTAGTTTGGGTGGGTTTTTTTTGGGGGGGTGTGTTTGGTTTTTATCCTTGCTTTTGTTATTGTTTTCTTGATGTTTGTTGGGTTTTTTGTGTTGTTTTTTTTTCCCTTTGCCCCTGCTCTCCAGTAACATCCTCCTTCCAGGAGTGTGTCCTGCAGCACAACCACAGCTGGAGCAGGGCAGGTTCTGACTGGGTATTCAGAAAGAAGCTCTTTATGCTGAGGGTGGTGGGTCACTGGGACAGGCTGCCCAGAGAGCTGGTGGAGGCCTCATCTCTGGAGTCATTCAAGGTCAGGCTTGATGGGGCTCTGAGCAACCTGATCTAGTTAGAAATGTCCTTGTGCACTGCAGAGGGGCTGGACTAGGTGAGGTCCCTTCCAACCCCCCCATTCTGTGACTCTAACCCAGCAGTACCTGGTTTGGTCTGGGTGCCCCCAAAGAGGCCTCCAGTGTTATTGTTGGACCCAAAGGCTGATGTTCCAAAGGCTCCTCCACTCGTGGTACCAAAGCCAGCATCTGAAAATCAGCATCAGGGTTGAGATGAAGCCACATTCTGAACAAGTGCACCACAAACCAAAATGTTCTCACCAGCTTTGAGCCTTCCAGAACTGCCAAGACCCTCCCCACTCTGCAAGGCCACTTCATGCAGCACCTTGAGGTTGCTCTTCTTACATAGCAACATAAATTGAATTGTTTTGTTTCCTTCCTAACAACCAGGACACACACATCAACTCAGCCTCCTTTAATGGCTGGAATCTCACTCACTGTGCCAGTTACAACCTGTATCTCCAGAAGACACTCCCCACATTACATACTTTTTCTTTCCAAGTCTTCCCAATGACTTGACAGACAGAATCTCTCCCCCCACCCTGGCAGGGCAGCCTTTATCCAAGCATTCCAGTTTCCACTCCTTTTAGACAAGGGAGTTTCAAGGACTGTAGGTAGAATCCTGGTATCTACCCAAATTAAAAGCTTGGGTTAGTGGAGAAGCTGAGGGTTCCTGACCCTGATTTCCTGCAAAGTGAGTGAGCTGGGCAGCTGAGCAGCACCTCAATTCCACCCCCCCAGCTCCATCCCACACCAAGAATTCCCATCTCTGCCTGATCCTCAACCTGCACCTCCAGGAACAAACACCTCCAGTACCAAACAGTCAGTCAAGATGAATTACTTACTTTGCCCAAAAGTGGAAGTTGTCCCAAAGCCAGTGCTGCCTCCAAACGGAGTCCCAAAGGATTTGTTAAACATTTTTAGGATGTATCAGGTTTCTCCCCAAACCTGGAAAGAAGAATTCAGCTCTTAATTAAAGCTTATCTTGAAAACTCTTCCCCCCAGCCCCACCAGTTGCTGGAAGCCACCTGATCTCAGCACCTCCACCACAAAAGGCAAAGCAGCACCTTGAAGCCACACTATGCAAGATCAGACCCTGAAAGGGACACTAACATCAACACCAACACCCCAGGGACATCCCAGGGAAGCTGCTTCCCAGCTCAGTTATGTCTGGATTTTTATGTCTGACTTTTCTGAACAGGCTGAAAATAAACCCAATGAACAAAACTGCTGCCCTGAGGCACCTGTTCTCAGCACCCCCCTCCAGAACACCTAAAGCCACCAGCACTTCTGTTCCTGCCACCTTTGATACCCAGACAGACCCCCAGGATCTCCACTGAGCTCCAGCTGTTCCTATGACAGTCCCAGAATTTTCCATCACTTCCTTCCTGTTCAACCCCCCTTTGCCACCTCCTTCAAACAAGACACAGGGAAATGCACTGGAATTTCAGGAATACACCTTCCACCTGCCTCCCATGTGCTGCCCAGGGGCTGCACCAGGATTGGCTTCACTTCCAGAAAGTCGTTTTTTTAAAACATTTGTTTGGGGGAATTTCATCCCATTTAGGCCAAATTTACCTTCCCACCACCTATGGTTTTATTGACAGACCCACGTGGTGCCCCCACGTCTCTCCAGTCTCTTCTCCAAGTCCAAATACAACCTTACAGCCCTTTTTTTTTAACAAAACCAACAAAGCTAAAGCAGAATCACTACAGGAGCTTCTGTCCTACCCCAGCCAGAGATGTCTCTCTGTGGGGGGTGACAGCCTGAGCCCCACCACTGAAAATGCCAGGATTACCCAGAAAAAATCCACTGCTGGCAGCTCCAGTGTGGATGAGTTTCTGTACAGTAATGGACATGGAAAAATACTAGAGCTGTAGGTGCAGGGAACAGGAGAAAGGGACATTTTAGTAACAAATTAGAGGAACTTTGTAACATTTAAAGGACAGCAGAATACAAAGCAGGAACTCAAACAGGACCCAGTTAGAGATGCTGATGCCACAGAGACTACAAAGAAGATGCAGGATCAGCAGCAGAAGTATCCGAGCTTACCATAGCGCATGAAGTATCAAAGTAGTAGCTTGTCATAACGCGTGAGCTGATCAGCACTTATTAACCAATCAGTTAGTATATTGAAGATGTAATGATCTTTGTAACAAGCCTATATATACTGATGTGTCTAACAGTAAAGTGGAGCATTCACCTTAACTCTTGAGTATCGTGTGTCTGACTCTCGCTCACCACAACACTCCAGCTGCTCCACTGCAGCACTAACACTTTCAGGGACCTGCACGACACAGCCCAGGCTGAGGACATTTACCAAGCACTCACTGTCACCTCAGGAGGACTCTGCTTTACAGAATGACACATTTTCAGCACTCTGGTGTTTTTTTTAAACTCTGTTTAGACTTTCCAGGAGGCTCAACGTTCAGGATAGCAATAAAGTCCTGCCAACTGTTCTTGGCTATAACACAGGAAGTTCCACCTGAACATGAGGAGGAACTTGTTGCCTGTGAGGGTGGCAGAGCCCTGGGCCAGGCTGCCCAGAGAGGCTGTGGAGGCTCCTTCTCTGGAGACATCCCAGCCCCTCTGGAGGTTCCTGTGGGACCTGCTGGAGGGATCCTGCTCTGGGGGGTTGGATGGGGGATCTCCAGAGGTCCCTTCCAACATCTAAGATTCTATGACTCTCCATTTGGTTGCCAACAAGTTCAGTCAAACCTTGACCTCTTCCCAGTTCCACAGCTCCCCAGAACTCCCCAATTCCATCCACTTTTCCATCCTGCTCCCTAAAAGGCAGCCCATGCCCCACAGGGTCACAGAGGGTGGGAAGGGAGCTCTGGAGATCATCCATCCAACCCCCCAGGGCAGGGTCACCTGTTTCAGAAGAAAACAAAGTTTTCTAAAATTTCAGCAGCTTCTAAAAAAACTGTTATAAGATTTCACACCCTCGTGGGGTTTGAAGTTTTAACATCCCCTTGATCCTGAGCAGCTCTGGCTGCCCCAAGAGACCTGGGCTGTCCTGTGGTCACTGCCCCTGAGGCCAACAGGGGGGCAGAGGGAAGCAGCCCCAGAGCCCCATCACCACCCTGGGCTGCCCCAGGAAAACACACTCAGAGCCCCTGGAGGTTCCACAACCCCAGAACTGAAGAAGAGCAGCCTGGGCTGGTGGGAGGTCCCTGCCCATGCA